TGTAAAATAGGACATACAAAGTGAATTGGGACACCAACTAATGTTCATCCCTCCCCAAATAGAATCCTCAATTATTTTCTCCCAGACAATAAATTAAAAGCTATTTAGGAAATAGTAGTTTAAAATTCTGAGCAATTATTATTACATTCATTTCAGGTAGAAAAGAGTAGCTTTTCATTTCTATAATTGCTAGATGCGTAGAGCTGCCCTCCCAGGCTACGACAATCCAAGTTCTCATTTGCATACTGAAGGCACAACACCCTTCTAGGTCTGCGTGTGAAAGGTGACCATTTGTCCCTTCCATCCACACATACCACCCAGCTTATTAATAAAGTATTACATAAGACAGAGAAAGAGGATGTTCCCAGCATGCCGTGAATAAAACATGAACTTCCAAGTTGTATTTCTTTTATTCATCTACTTATTCACGCTCTCATTCACTCACTCACTCATTTGATCAAGACATATGTAATACCTACCATGTTCTAGACCCTATATAGATGCTGAGATTCAGAGATGAATGTGATGCCACAGTTGTTCTAGATGAACTAATAGTTTAAATAAGATTCCTTGTCCTGGGTTTCTGTGGACCCTACTGGGTGTGAAGTTGAGCTTAGGAGACTTGGAAATCCCTTTGAAATTAAATAAAATCATGGGTTTGAATGTGTATAAACATATATTTTTTCTGAGATACGGACAGACTTATATTTTTCATTAGATTGTAAGGGGATTGGGATCCAGAAAGGATTAAAAAGCAACTGGCCTAGAAAGGGAAGAACCTCAGCCCTGGCTCTAACATGTAGCCATTATCTCCTTAACTCCGATGGGAACTCAGGCAGGAGGTGGCCTGTGTTTCTGATCCTGCTGCTCCACAATCAGTGTGCTTCCATATCTGATTCCATCTCTGATTCTTCTTTCTCCTAAGTTACTCTTATATCTTCATTTTGAATTCCTAATAAGGAACATTGGGTTGGTCCAATAAATCACTATCGTTTCTGTTGGAGTGTACCTTTCTGCTGGGGCCCCTCAAAGGTTTTTGAATATTCATTGATTTTTAACAGCAGTCCATTGGGTCAAGCAATGGACCAACAACCCACTTGGCTCTAATTTGTTATGCTGGGTTGGAGGCTGGGGAGAGTCGCTGGGAGCAGATGTGGCCACAGCTATCTAAAACCTTGTCAAGGAATTCTCCTGGAAGAGACTGAATGAAAGGACATTTCCTGAGAAGTCAGTTGCAGGTGTGATGGTCCTTGTCCTCAAGTATGAAAGATACATTTAGGGGAGGATATTGGATCAATCTATGCATTAACTTGCCAGGTCCCTCTTGGGATAGGTTAATAAAATCACGAGTTGTGGAGCTGGGGTTGTGGCTCAGTGGTAGAGTTCTGATCTTGCATGTGTGAGGCACTGAGTTTGATCCTCAGCACCACATAAAAATAAATAAATTATATAAAGGTATTGTGTCCATCTACAACTAAAAATTAAATTAAAAAAATTTTTAAAAATCACTAGCTGTGTTTAGGACCCCCCTTGTATGTCCATGGAATATAAAAAAATCTTACTGTCTCAGGCCTATTTAAAATCTGAAAATATCATTATTCATCTTAACTTGACTCTGCTAACTGGTGACAGTGACCAGGAAGCACAGACACTAGAACAAAGTGTCTTTATTTGTGGTTCATCATAAACTCTTACTTGCCACAAGTGAGGTGCCAGGGATTCAAAGGCAAATAGGACTTGCAACTTTTCCTTGCAGAGATCATGCTAGAATAAAAGTTATATTGTTTGATATAATGAGCAGAGTTCAACTGGAAATGGGCTGGAAACCAGAGGGCCAGAATTCTGGCTCTGACTCTGTCACTTACTGGTTGTGTAAACTTGGCTCCAGTATTTAAATATTCTGAACCTTATTTTAAGGCTCTTTCTTTATTTTAGAATGGAGACAAGGAAACCTACCCCACTTGGTTCTGTGGTTGTCAAAAGGACTAAATAAGATAATATATGTGAAAGTACTTTACTGTCAATTTCTAAAGCAAAACAACGCTTGGAAAAATCATTGCCTTAGTTTTGGGTATTATTGGCAGAACAGAACCCTTCATTACTGGCGCCATTCTAGTTCCTATCATTAAATGCATTGTTTGTCCTCTCGAGGTCTTTGTGAATATGTTTAAATGAAATCTGATCACGTTGGAAAAGTGTGCATTTTAATGGTATGCATTTAGTTCCAAAGAACATCTGATAAAGGCTTTAAAAGTTTTAAAGTACAAACTGAATTTTAAAAGTGCCAGTTAAAAGTTAATGAAGCAGGACCCACCAGGAGAGAGGGACTGATTTGCTAAGAGTGAGATAGTGCCTCTGTCTTTTGCAAGAAGAAAGTTAGTAACCCTCAGAATTAGATTAGACATTTCCCAAGGGATTGATTGGTACAATGCCTACAGCTTTATTAATTTTTTTATAGAACTTTTGATCACGGGTGCCCAAAGTTCCTGGACAATTATGATTTTAAATGACTTATTCATACTGAGTCAAGTGCACGAACAAGAAGTCTGATTTTAACCTGGTGAGGTGAAGTCTGTGAGTTAGTCTTTCACAAAGGAAAATAGCGTGGACTTTCTTTGAAGGCCTTTTGAGTTTCTGCATGTCTAGAGCACTGTCCGTCCTGCTGAGGGCTTACATATTCTTGAGTGGAACTGTCTTCCCAGCAGGAGTGTAAGACCCTTTGGGAACAGGAACTGTGTTACATGCCTAAAAATACTTAGAGTCCTGCAGTGGATAGCACAGGAAGTCGCATAACCACAATGAGGCAGAATTCTGAACCGGGGGTAGTCATCTAACTTGGCCCTTTCTGGGTTCCAGAATCTTGTTGATGGGAGGTATGCTCTGGTGGACTACTGTGGCAGCATTTGAAATGGTTCCTTAACTTTGGATTTTATGAAGACAACAGAAAAATCTTTTGACATGACCGAGTCAACAGATTGTGATGAGGGTCATACACAGTTTACCAGTTATATTTAGAAACAAGGAACTAAAATAAACACCCTAGTCATATTTACCATGGATTTCCTTGAACTAAGGAATTGGCAATAATGGTCTGCCAGCATTGAGGATAAAGAACGTTGACTCTTGAGTCAAGCAGACTGGAGTCGGAATTTCAGCTCCACCATTAACCAGCTGTGGCTTTGGTTGGTTTACTTGATTCCACTAAACCCCTGTCTTATCATCAGTAAAATGGGAACAACAATAGTATTTCCTCTATAGAGGTTGTTATGAAGATTAAGAGGAGATCTATGTTAAAGTGCTTAGTGGGGTGGATGGCACAGAAGATGAAATCGAAGTCTGGTGGCTTTATTAGTCAAGGGAATGGTTTTTGAGTGGTTTCAGGCGGCAACTCATTTACTGTGTTCCAAATTGTCTTTGTCTCAAGAGCTCTGTGCTGGGCTTCCCCGCTCCCTTTTTTCTTTATTAGTCACTATAGATTATCTGGTTTTAAAGTCCCTGTCTCTACCCTGAGTTGGAGATGTATGCATCCATCCTGTATGCAGGATCAGGGTGATTCTGAATGCCGAATACCATGGTGATTGATCAGAGCAGGAGGATTTAATGTCTCTAGGCCCAAAGAGACTTTTTTTTTTGCTGGTGATGCAAACTGAAAACAGATTCCCAGCCATCTCAGACAGGGCTCCCGGTGCACAACATCATTACATAGCCCAGCAACAGAGACTCAGACATTATAGTTTAATCATTTAGTGCCCAAAGCCATACGGCAGAAGGCAATTTACTGCTTGATCCTGAAATGGCTCCATTAAATGAATGCCTTTTGATTTAATAATCATTAGCATTACACAGAATTACACAGATGCTGACACTAAGTATGGGCTTCAGGGAGAGGTGAAACCGGATTGCCCTTTTATGTTCTGAACTTTGTAGGTAGGCTTCTGTTTGAATTGACATCTCCTGAGTTATCCCAAAGTAAGTGTGTTTTTTAGTATTAGGGATTACTGACTTCACAAGAAAATTGGCTTCTTTGCTAAGCCTGGTTAGTTTGGCTGGGTAGAAAGAGAAAGGATGGAGTGTGACTCATTCCAGATAAACCTGTGATGGGTTGAATCCCCAGGGACAAGATATCTTGTCCTCCAACTTTGAACCAGAGGAGAGCAGAGCTCTTTCTATGAATTTATATCTGTTCTTTGCTGAAGTTCCAGACTTCTGCCAGACTTCCTTCAGCTTTCTCTCTCACCTCCGTTGGCCTACTAAGGGCCTGTACAGGCTAAGGAATGGTAGTTATATCTTGTCCACTGGATCAGGGTTACAAATATGTCACCTGATTGGAAACTTCAAGAGTGTGAAGGGAGGGATGATGATGGTCTTTGAGAATTTCAATATGGCTTCAGAATTTAACATACTTGGTAATGTCAACAGATGGTTCAAACAGTGGTATTCTCTTTGAATTCAGAGTTCCTGGAGAGTATGGACTACTTTTTGTGCTCAAATCCCCCACATCTGACTGTAATATGTGTTTGTTGAGTGAGTGAGTGAGTGAATGAATGAATGAATGAATGAATGAATAAAGCATCTGTAATGGGCCAATGCAGGTATTAGAGTATATGCTTAATAAGTGTGGAAGGGAAAGACATGGCTTGCCAGAAAGACAGTAAGTACCAATGAAGCCTTAGTTACCAATCACAGAAGTGTTAGTGCAAGGAGAAGCCAGTGAAGCCAGTGAATAAGAGTTTGCTAAAACAGAAAGTCGTGACTAAAGACTGAGAGTTTCCCTATACACACACACAGACACACAAATAAAGCCAATTCTTTGTGATAAAGCCAATCCTTTGTGTTAAAGAAATTCTCTATCATTACTGACATTCCTTTCATGAGTCAAAATGTTTCTGTCTCTGTTTCAAAATAGCCCCTTTATTTCTATACTATATTTTGAGCACACTTATATTTTTCTGGGAAGGCAGTGGGCGAGAAAGATGTGCTTCCTGCCAACAACCACTCACCTTTTCTCGATGTTCATTACATGCAGTATTTCCAAAGTGACATATCCAGGCCATCCCATAATAGATTTCGCTGGTAGCAAGTATGCAAATGAAGGTTTGAGGTGAATTCAGTTCTTGAGTCCCACATGCTCTAATGTTCTTATAAATATTTCACTACCCTCTAATAAAATCTCTCTTCTCCTGGGATGGAGAAGAGTATTAGTTTCCTTTTCACTTTCAGTAACTTCTCTGCAATCACAGGAGGAATTAAGCCTTAACACATTGACAGTAGCCTCGAAAACTTCAAAACCATCAATTACTCTCAGCCCCACCTTAGAAGTATTAAGTGAAAGCCATCAGGCAGAGGTTATAATTAGAGATTGAAAGTGCTGACCAGAGAGCTCTTGGGCCTTTCAAAATACTCCCAGGAGCTTGCTCAATTTCAAAAGCCTACTGGGAAGAACATAAAGCCAACAGGGAGGGGGTGGGGGACCTCTAAGAATTTCAGGGTAGGGGAAGGTCGCTGTTAGAATGTATTTTGATTAGAGAGTTATCCCCAAAGCTGTCTGGTGAGATCTTTTCTACAAAAAGTCTACAAGGTCAAGATGAATGACATCCAGAAGTTTCTTTTTTGTATCCCACCTTTTGCAGGTGGAATCAAGAAGCTTAATTCTACTGTGTGAAATAACAGAAGACCAGTGGGTGCCCATATAGGAATGATTTCCTGGTATGAAGAATTAGAAAGCAGGGCCTAAGCACTTGCCTATTAACTCGTGGAAAACTTGTTAGAACTGAATAAGGTAGTGGGGTTTCCATGTCTGACACCCTCAATAAGATGCCTGTGATTTTCAGCAAGTGAGGTCTAAAACTGAACACACAACTGTTTAGGGAGAGCTTTCTCTGTACCAGGCACCAGGATGACATGGAGATACAAAGCCTTGCCTTGTCCTCAGCCGTTCCACGTCTGTTTGGATGGAAAGTGGCTTCCTATTGGTACAGCAGTCAGGTCAGAACTTCCTTCTCTGGATGGTAGGGCTGAGCAGAGTCAGCCTGAGGCCACGGAAGAGAAAAATGGCTTCCTTTTGTTTTGACCTCCTTCCCCTTTCCATGGCATCCTCTGGTGGAAGTGGCCAAGTGCCCCCTTCTGAAAAAAAGCTTAAATGATTGACTTTTAAACCACACATTCAAATGTGATGGTAAACAATATATATGCATATATATATATATATATATATATATATATATATATATATATATATTTTTTTTTTTTTTTTTAACTGAAGCAGTAATTGTACATATTTATGGGATACAGTGTGACATTTCAATACATGGGTACATTGTGTAGTGATCAGATCAGATTGATTGACATATCTATTAGTCCAGATATTTATCATTTCTTTGTATTGGGAGCATTCAAAACCGTCTCTACTAGTTACTTTTAAATATTCAATTAATATAATATAATATAACATAACATATTATAGTTGGATGTGAGGTGTCCCCCAAAAGTTCACATGTGAGACAATACAAGAAGGTTTGGAGGAGAAATGATTGGGTGGTAGCCTTAACCTGATCAGTGAATTAATCCCCTGATAGGGATTAACTGGAAACTGAAGTGGTAGGGTGTGGCTGGAGGAGTGGAATTGGGGGCATGGCTTTGGGGTTTATATTTGTGTCTGGCAAGTGGAGATCTCTCTCTCTGCTTTCCGATCATCATGTGAGCTGCTTTTCCCTCTGCCACACCCTCCTACCACTATGTTCTGCCTCACCTCGAGCCCCAAGGAATGGAGTCTACTGTCTATCGATTGAGACCTTTGAAACCGTGAGCCCCCAAATGAACTTTTCCTTCCCTGCAGTTGTTCTGGTTGGGTCTTTAAGTCACAGCATAAAAAAAGTTGACAAAAGCAGTCATCAAACATAGTTACCCTATTAACTATAGAACATTAGAAGTTATTCCCCTACCCGACTCCACCCCTGTACCTGTACCCATCCTTTGTTCATCCTCCCCTGCCGCAGTCCGGCTGCAGCAAAATAAACGGGGGTGGGGGTTGACGAACAACTTGTGTAGATTGATACAGCAGGAGTGGGAGCCGTTTATTATAGGGCAGGAGCGGTATTTATACATTCCACACAGCTTATCTTAATTAGCATAAACTAGATACATCAGTCAACCAATAAGAAATCTCCACACTTAATGGCTCGCTGGCGTTACTTCACAAACCACTCCCTCTGGCATTTTGCCAGGCGCCATCCAGACTTGTTTACAGACCTTAACACTCCCCTACCCCTTCCCAGGCTCTAGTAAACACTGTTCGGTTCTCTACCTCTATGAAATCAGATTTTTAAATTCTCTATATAAGGGAAAACATCTGTATTTGTCATTCAATGCCTTGTATATTTCACTTAACATAATGTCCTCCAGTCCCATCTAAGTTGATGCAAATGACCCAATCTTAGTATTTTTTTGTGGCTGAATAGTATTTCATTGTGTATATATACCACATTTTCTTTTATCCATTCATCAGTCTATTGTGACTAGTGCCACAATACACATATGAGTGCAGATGTTTCTCCAACATACTGATTTTATTTCCTTTGGATATTTACTCAATAGTGAGATGTATGGTAGTTCCATTTTTATTTTCTTTCTTTCTTTTTTTTCTGTAGTACTGGGGATCCAACTCAGAGTCTGACACATGCTAAGCAGTTGCTCTACCACTGAACCACATACTTGGTATTTTTTTGTTTCATTTTTAGATAGTCTTTTGCTGAGTTACCCAGGCTGGCCTCAAATTTGTGATTTTCAGTCTCCTTAGTAGCAGGCATTACAGGTATGTGTCACCATGCCTGCACATTTCTAGTCTTTTGAGGAACCTGCATACTGTTTTCCACAATGGTTGTATTGATTTGCATTTCCACCAGTAGCATATGAAAGTACCCCTTTTTCCTCATTCTCACCAGTATTTGTTATTTTTTGTCTTTTTGATAATAGTCTTCCCAACTGGGGTTAGATGACATCTCACTGATTTCATTTCCCTGATTAGTAATGTTGAATACTTCTTTATGTTTGTGTTGGTCAATGTGTATTATTTTTGAGAAATATATATTCATGTCAGTTGTCTATTTTAAATCAGATTGCTTTTCTGCTGTTTGAATTCTTTATATATTCTGCAAATTAATTCTTGTTGGACATTTTACAAATATTTTCTTCTACTTTGTAGCTTGTCTCTTCACTTTGTTATTTCCTTTGTTGTGCGAAGCTTTTTAGTTTGTGACAAAGATGATTTATTTACACTGGCAATAATATATTTTTTGGCATTTTTTTTTGTTTATAAGCTTTTTTAGGTTAAAAATGTCATTTCAGGAAGAGTCAGATTTGGGGTATAGTCTAAATTTTGTTATTGGTGAATTTCGATGACCTCTCAAAAGCATGTATAAATAAGTAAACATGATCATTAATGTTAGAAATTGGTTTTCTATCTGTCTGCAACAGCATAGCAAATAAAAGGAAGCATAAGGCAGCTTCATGTTCTAGGGTATAAATTTAGGTGGGAACATAAAAGATCAAAAATATAAGTTAGCATATACTTTATTTCTTGGATGGACTGGAGCTTCTCCTACTGGCTTGCAAGTGCCACATTATGGTTGGGATATGAGGTATTCAAAAGCTCTTGGGTCACTGCAGGAATGTTCTCAGGTGAGATGATTGGGCGTAGCAGCCCTAACCTAATCAGTCCATCCTAGTTTGAATGGACACCCTGGGTGGTAACTATGGCAGGTGGGGCATGACTGAAAGAGATGGGTCACTGGAGCTGCCCTGGAAGGATTGTTCTTCCCTGCGGCCAGCAGCCAGCCTGCCTGCGGGCCTGTCTCTTTCTGGCTGTCTTTCTCTCAGTCCTTACTGACCCTGCCTTAGGCTGGGCAGCTTTCCTCCATTAAGCCTTTTCCTCACTTTGGGCCAGAGCAATGGAGTCAGTGTCTACGGACTGAGACCTTTGAAACCCTGAACCCAAATAAACTTTCCTTTCTCTAAGTTGTTCTTCTGGGGTATTTTCTTCACAGTGGTGAAAAGCTGACTAAAACAAAGTCATTGCTAAATTTTCCAGAGTTTTGCAAACTGGTTATTTAAACATAGCCATTAAGAAAAATTAAATTATATAGATTTGTAATTAAATTATGCTAACAACAAAAGCAATACATAGTCAACACTCATCCCTTCCTGATGACTTTACTCCATTTAACTATTATTCATTGTATCTGAAAGTAGGAAATGCCATGTAACGCGTGCCTAGTGAATCTCTTCCGAACAGCCACGGGTGAAGTCATCCAGGTATCTCCAAATCGGCCACTGGGGAGCATTCACACCTGAAACTGACGAAGTCTACCGAACAGGGCTTTTCCTTCTCTCTCCAGAGTCAGCAGCTTAACACTGACCAACACAGCATTGCATATACATATCAAGGGGAAGAATGATCTCCAAAAACTATGCACGACTCCTGCGATCACCTCCAGTTTGCTCTGAAGCAAACTCGTTCTATGTGGGTCAGGAGCCCCCTCGGGGATATTTAAAACCAGGACAAGTCACAAAATGCCCACATGTCCATGAACGTTTTTATACAGGTGAAATCAGGTTGACATGAATATTAAAAGCCTCTTCAAAGGTGAAAGGAAATTAAAAAAAGAAAAGGAAAAAAAAAAAAAAAAAAAAAAAAAAAAGCAGCAGCAAGCTGGAGGGGCGGGTAGGGTGCATGTGCGCATGCGCTTGGGCTGCAGGGCCTCCAGCTGGTTCTGGCCGAGTAGGCGGGAAATGGTTGGATGAACCTAGTGATCTCCTGGAAAGTCAAGGGCCTTTCTGTGCTGCTCTTTCAGCTGCTAGCTGAAACCCCAGGGACAAGGTGTTCCCTTTGATCTTGCTGTAGAGCTGTATCACAGAACTAAAAAAATTTAAAAATGCAGGGTAATAGGATGTATTTGGGTGCCTTTCTGGAAGTGGGGGAGGGATGTCTTTGAACCAGTGCTTCACGCTGGTCTTTCTACCCCGAATCATGGCAGACCTCTAAAACTCTTTTCGGGGGCAAAAACAAAAACAAAAACAAAACGAACAAACAAACAATGAGTTGTGGTGCTTTAAACATACACGGAAATGGTGTATATAACACTGATAACATGAAAAGTCAAAATATTCTGTTGAAGAAAAGGTGAAGATGATAAGTTTAATATAACATATAGGAAACACAAAGTAGAAATATTAAAAATAATAGTATCTTCTCATTCTTGAAATTAACAAAATCTTCCTGGA